TGGGAGCAAGAGGCAGAGCTGAAGCCCAAGGTTGGGGGGATTTCAGCCATCCCCTAGAGCCTTGAACTTTGAACTTGGACTTAAAGCCTCCAAATTGTGAGAGAATAAACTCCTATTTGTTCAAGCATCCCATTTGTGGTATATTCTTGTTAGAGCAGCACTAGGTATCCAGAACAAGTACCATGGTCTCCATAAAAGGACTAACAGATCTGTCGTGGAAGAAGTATAGCCAGAATGCTCCTTGGAAGCGAGAATGGCCAGACTTCATCTCATCCACTTTGGTCATGTTGTCAGGAGGAAACATTCCCTGGAGAAGGATATCATGCTTGGGAAAGTGGAAGGTCAATGAAGAAGGGGAAGGCCCTCAACGAGATGGACTGACACAGTGGCTGCAACAATGGGCTCAGGGATAGCAAGGATCATGAGGCTGGCACAGGACCGGGCAGTGTTTTGTTCTGCTGTGCATAGGGTCACTGTGAGTTGGAGACAATTTGATGGCACCAAACAACAGCAACAATGTGTGTATTAGATCATAAGAAAAAGTTTATTTTTAACTATGTACTTTTAACAAGATAAAAAAAAAATGTGAAAGATATTTGACCACAGGTCTTAAAGCAAGTATCTAGTATCTGCTGGGAGTGCGGGAGACAGAGCAGAGGGAGTATATTTCATCAAGGAGAAGTTTTTTTTTTTTTTTTTACAAAAACACCTTTTGAGATTAATTTCTTTTTTTAAGTTTCTATTGTCATTTGGGTGAAATTTTACAGAGCAAATTCATTTTCCAGCAGTTCACATTCACCTTGTCTCATGACATTGACTGTAATTTCCCACAATGCAGCAGCTCGTTTCCCACTTCCTCCCATAGTTACCTCTACCCTGTGTCCTTTCCTCCCATGCAGTCCTGTCCCCTGTCTCCCTGTGCATACAAAGCCCTTCTCTTCTCCCATGATTGATCTCTCCAAGGAGTGTATCTGCCTAATGTAAATGTTCAGCTCATATGCCTGTCTTCTGTTTGGCTGGAAGCCACAGAAGTGGGTTCAATTCCAGACCTGAAGGACAGCTAGGGGCCATAGTCTCAGGGGTTCCATCAGGCTCTATCAGACCAGCAAACCTGGTCCTTATTTATTATTATTATTATTAATGATTTTGAGTTTTGTTCCACATTGTTCTCTCACTCTATCCAGGATCTCCTACTTAGATCCCTAACCAAGTGGTTGACATTGGTAGCCAGGCACCATCTAGTTATGGTGTCATAGTTATATAGGCTGGAGATCTCATGGTGGACCAGTCCTTTGGACTAATTGTTTCCATGTGTGTTGGTTTTCTTCATTCTTCTTTGCTCTGGATGAGGAGAGACCCATCATTGCATCCAGATGGCCGCTTGCAAGCTTTTAAGATCTAGGGGAAGATTTTTAAGTTGGGTCTTACAGTGACTGTAGGAGATGAGGAAGACTTTCTAGAGGGAGTGCATGTGGGAACAGTGTGAGGTCATGAGGATGGAGTCTTGTATAGAAGGAGAGGGGTGGCAGAAGAGGAAGGTGGAAAGGAGAATGAGTTGAGGCTTGATTGTGAAGGGTCTTACCAATTTAACTGAGGTCTTTATTCTTTAGGCAAAGGAAGCTTACAATTTTATTTATTTAAAAGAAGATAACTGTTTCCCCTGGTTAACAGTGACTGTGGACATTTCTTTAAGCCGGTTTTGGAGGAATCTAAAGAGGCAAGGGGCGAAAAGAAAAAAAGAGACTTATTAGTATAAGAGGTAATAACCAGGCTGTTAGTGGTGATTGGAGCTACGCAAATGGTAAGGTCTATTATGTAGTTGACATTTTGTTCCACCAGACCAGATTCGTTGATATAATAGCAGCATTCTTCTTTAAGAAAGAGGCAAGTTCCACCTTTTTCTGCTGTTAATAGGTCCAAGGCTCTTCAATTCTGTAAAGTAACTTGGGCTAAAGAAGTTAGTTGCCACTGGAGGAAGGCTAGGGAATCTGCAGTGGTTTCAAGTGTTACTTCCAGATGGGTTTGAAAATCTTGGGCTGATATTATACTATGACCCAAGGCTCCACCTGCTATTCCTGCTGCTGCAAAAGTGGAATAGCCAGGAAAATTCGGATTCCCCATACAAAGTGAGTTGGGGTACTATTGTTACTGGAAAGCAGGGGCTTGGAGTGGTGGAGTTTAAACATTTAGTTAAAGTTCCGTTACACCAAAAGTAAGTGCCAGGTGAGCAGTCAAAATTTTTTAAAAATTAGGGGTTAAGATGCTGACACTTCTTAGAAATAGCATCATTTCATGAGATTATTTCTCTTGATCTGAATATTTAGGGTCATGGCTTCATGGGCAATTCAGTAAATTGGCATAATATAGTTCTTTTTTCTTTCTTTTATTTTATTTTTTATTGTGATTTGGGTGAAAATTTACAGAGCAAATTCACTTTCCATACAGCAGTTCACATACACTTTGTCTCATGACGTTGACCACAATTTACCACAGTGCAACATCTCCCCTCCCACTTCTTCCCCATAGTTACCTCTTCTCTGTGTCCATCCCTGCATGCACTCATACCCCCTGAGCTGTCTCCCTGTGCATAAACAGTCCTTCTTTCTCCCAAGGAGTGTATCTACCTCAGGTAAATGTTCAGCTCATAAAATTGGCACAATATAGTCCTTAAAGTTTATGTTCTACCTTCTAGTTTGGTGAGTAGTGTTTGGATCTTAAAAGCTTACAAGCAGCTATCTAAGATGCAACTATTTTTTCTTTATTCACTTAGAGCAAAAGAGAAAGGATACTTGAGAATCAGAGAAGGAACGAGCCTAAAGGATTAACTGTCTCCATGAACCACTGCCCCCTGTACCTTGAGATCAGAAGAACTAGATGGTGTTTGATTACCACTATCAAACATTCTTATCAGGGACACAATAGTGTCCTAATAGAAAGGATGAAAAACAAACATCAAATTATTAAAGAATCCAGACTTACTGGACACATTGAGCCTGGAAGAATCTTTATGACTATCACCCTGAGATACTCTTTAAACCTTATAGCGAGACTATCCCTTGAAATCACCTTTTAACCTAAATACAAGGGTAGCTCAAAAAGCAATGAATGTCACCCTTGAGTACTGTGCTCTTTTTTTAAAAAAAAAAAAAAAATCTATATGAAACTAAATGGACAACAATTACTCTAAAGCATAGATGAGAAATTTGAGGGGCACTGAAACTACATTAATGGGAGTGAAACAACTAGAAATTATGAGAATGTTGACGCAATGTGAAGAATGTAACCAATGTCACTGAACATTATATATAGAAACTGTTAAATGGGAGAAGGTTTTGTTGTGCATATTTTCACCAAAAATAAAATATTTTTAAAATATTCCCCATTTTGTTTATCCATTCATCTCTTCATGGACATTTTGGTTGTTTGCAGCTTCTGGCTATTGTGAAAAGTGCAATAAACAATGGTCCACAGGTTTCTGTCTGTGTTCCTTCCTTTACTTATTCTGGGTATATACTTAGGATTTGGATTGCTGGGACATATGGTAATTCTATGTTCAACTTTTTGTGGAAATCATCAGACCATTTTTCACATTGGCTACCCTTGGAGAATGAGGGCTCCAGGTTCTCCACAACCTCACCAACACTTATTGTTTCCTGTTTTTTTTTGTTATTGTTGTTGGTAGTGGTTTTTTAATCATTGTCATTCTAATGAGGGTGAGGTGATACCTCATTGTGGTCATCTCCCTAATGGCTAATGATGTTGGTGTCTTTTCATGTGTTTATCGACCATTTGAGTATCTTCTTTGGTGAACTGTCTCTCTGACCAAATTGAAAAATGAACATTTGTGCATCAAATGACTTTATCAGCAAAATGAAGAGACAACTTAATAGAATGCTGGAAAGTATTTGGTGACCACACATCCGAATAGCATTTAATAGCCAGAATATATAAACAACTCCTGCAACTCAACACAAAAAGAAAAACAATCCAATTTAAAAATGGGCAAAGGACTTGAATAGACATTTCTCCAAGGAGATATACAAATGGTCAATAAGCACATGAAAAGATGCTCAATATCATTAGTTATTAGGGATATGCAAATCAAAACCACAGTGAGATACCACTTCACCCACACTAGGATGGCTGTTATGAGAAAGACAGAAAATAACAAATATCAACAATATAGAAAAATTGGAACTCTTGTGCATTGCTGGTGGGAAATGTAAAGTGGTTCATCCACTATGGAAAACAGCTTTGTGGTTCCTCACAAAGTTAAATGTAGAATTACCATATGATCCCTTAATTATACTTCTAGGTATGCACCCAAGAGACTTGAAGGCAGGGCACTAATGTTTATTGCAGTATTATTCACAACAACCTAACAGTGGCAACAACCCTAGTGTTCATCAATAGATAAATGGATAAATAAAATGTGGTATATTCATATACAATGGAATACTACTCAGCCATAAAGAGGAATGAAGTCTTGATAGATGTTACAATATGGACAAACCTTGAAAAAGCTATGCTGAGTGAGATGAGTAAGTTACAAAAGGACAATTATTATATGATCTCATTTGTATGAAATATCTAGAATAGGTAAATACACAGAGACAAAAGTTTATTAGTGGTTACCAAGGGCTGAGGGGAGGAGGAAATCAGAGTTATTGCAAAGGGGTAATGAGTTTCTATTTGGCGTGATAGAAAATTTCTGGAAATGGATAGTCCTGAGGATAACTAGCATAGAAAAAATAATGTCACTATACTGTACACTTAAAAATGATTAAAATGGAAAACTTTTTGTTGTATTTATTTTATCACCAAAAAGAGAAAGAAAAGAAGAGAAAAAGACATGGGCCTGTATTCCTTAAGGGCAGTTTAAGAAAAAGTAAAATTACTTCCTTAAGCCGTAAAAAATTTCTCAGTGCTCAGGCTACATCTTTCTGACTATCCAGTATACATATTCAGGTATTTGATTTTGGCTGAATTGGCCTTCTTACCCAGCTCATGTAGAGCTTCGTTTCTATTTTTTTCCAGGTAATTTTCAGAAAAATGAAGAATTTTCAGTTTGACCAAATTATGAAGATTCTGATCTAAAAGGAAAATATAATCAGAAATACTTTCAGGGAACTACATATGCATTTTAAAATATTCTTAGAAGAATTCTGAGCCCTTGTCTTCTTTGCTGATGGTAACTCAAGCCATCATTTGACTTAATTTAATTATTCACAAATATACCTGTGTGGTTTTAACTCCTAACTCCAATGGTTATGACCATATATTTCCTGGTCAAATATTATGACCAGATATTTCCTGGTCCATGGTTCTCAAAAGTAAAGTTCAAGTCAAATAGAGCCTCAAAACATGTGGTTTATAGTCGTTATGTCACTATGAGAAAGTCACACCATCTCTCTAAACTTCATTGTCTTCATCTGTAGAATGAAGAGACTGAATTAGGTAAACTATGAGCTTGTTTTCAATTCTAAAATGCCCTTATCAAGCGGGAAAAACAGAAGAACAAAACATATATGAGAAAAATAGAAAAAAAACTTTAAAAATAGAAAGATAAATAAGATAAAATATATATAATATATAGGAACTCTGGTAGCATAGTGCCTAAGGCACTTGACTGCTAACCAGAAGGCTGGCGGTTCAAACCCACCAGCCACTCCTCAGAAGGAAGATGGGGCAATCTACTTCCGTAGTGATACTGCCTCGGAAACCCAAGGAGGGGTCGCTATGAGCCAGTCTGACTCAACGACACATAACAACAACATATAATATATACTAAATAAATATATAATTTAAATAAATATTAAATATAATATTTTAATAAACATAATATTTATTATATAATAAATATATAAAAATAAAATAAGATAAAATATGCAAATTTAATCATATCAGTAATTACACTAAATGTAAGTGAATTAAACATTTCAAATTAAAAGGCAGTAATAATCAGACTAAGTTTAAAAAAAAAAGCAAGAATCAACTGAATGCTGTCTGCACAAGATCTGTTTTAAACACAAAATCACAAATATGGTGAGGTAAAATATATAGAAAACTATTTTGCATGTAACATTAATCATAAAATACCATCACTCTAAATAAGAACTGTTTAATTCTTTTCTTCACTTAAGCTATTTATCATGATAGTATAATCTGATTGGAGCTTTTCCTAATCAAAAATACTTAGAAAAATCTTTTTTAAAAAATTACGTATTTTCCATGAATATATTCTCTTATTATTAGTAATTAGTTTTTAAAAACTAATTGTGTGTGTTCTTAGAGTCAACTATCTTTGAGGGTTTTGTGCTATAAAATCAGAGATACAAACTCTTTAAAATTAAAGATACAAATTGCGGAAGTCCACTTTAAAGGGTTTATTTCTACTTTTGGTTGTAAGCCTGTCTCTCTCGAGTGGCAAAGAGAGAAGTAAAAGAATATGCGCATCAGTCTCATGTTCTCAGGGTGTGTCTAGCCCTTTCTAATAGTGAATTAGCCTAGCTGTTTAAATTAGCATAAAAGTGCCTTCTTTAATAACTTTTACAGACTCCCAGCAGTATTATAGTCTAATTTTAAATTGATTAGGTCATCTTTTCTTTTTTTCCCACAAACTTCAAATTTAAAACATGTTTGAATTGAAAATGTTGTTGTTGTGTGGTGTTGTTGAGTTAGTTCTGACTCATAGCGACCCCATGCACAGCAGCATGGAATATGCTCAGTCCTGAGCCATCCTCACAATTTTTGCTGTGCTTGTGACCATTGCTGTAGCCACTTTGTCTCTCCATCTAGTTAAGAGCCTTCCTCTCCTTCGTCCACCCTCTACTTTATCAAGTATGATATCCTGCTCCAGGGAATGTTCTGATAACATGGCCAAAGTATGAGAAACAAAGTCTTGCCATCTTTGTTCTAAGGATGTACTTCTTCTAAGACAGATTTGTTTGTCCTTCTGGCAGGCTGTGCTATATTCAGAACTCTTTGCCAACACCATAATTCAAAGTCATCAATTCTTCGGTCTTCCTTATTCATTCTCCAGCTTTCACATGCTGTGATAGTTAAGGTTATGTGTCAACTAGGCTGGGCCTGGTTTTGAGTGGCTGGGCAGCTGGATGTAGTGATTCCCCATGATGAGACTGGTAATCAACTCCATGGTCGAATCTATGTGAGCAGCTGAGTAGCTGCCTTGGGGATGTGGTCTGCTTCCAGTATATAAGGAGAAGTTTTGAGAAATGTCTCTGAGGTTTTTTTTTGGCACATCTGGATCCTGCATTTGGCCAAGTCTTCATCTCAGTTGCCTGCCATGTGTCTGGAGATCTTGAGACTGTTTCTGGATTTGGACTAGTGGCCTTCCATGTTGCCCGATAATCTTGACTGTGCCATTTACTTGTTGACCTTGGGTTTGTCAGCCCCAGCAGTCAACAGCTGCCTAAGTTAAGAGATGCCTCTGCTCTAGTGGGCTGGGAGCAAGAGGCAGAGCTGAAGCTCAAGGTCAAGGGGCTTTCACCCAGCCCCTAGAGCTAGCACTTTGAACTCAGACTTCTAGTCTCCTAAATTGTTAGAGCATAAACTCCTGTTTGTTCAGATATTTGTGGTATTTTCTGTTAGAGTAACACTATTGTTGTTGCTATGTACCATCGAGTCAGACTCGACTCATAGTGACCTCCTTGGGTTTCCGAGGCGGTATCACTAAGGAAGTAGATTGCCTAACCTTCCTTCCAAGGAGTGGCTGGTGGGTTTGAACCTCCAGCCATCTGGTTAGCAGTCAAATGCCTTAGGCACTACACTACCAGAGCTCCCACTGGAGAACCAAAACACATGCATATGAGAAGATTGAAAATACCATGGCTTGGATCAGGCTCACCTTAGTCTTCAAAGTGACATCTTTACCATGTAATACTTTAACATTTTCCAGTGCAATATACTGTTTGACTTCTTGGCTGCTGTTTGCATGGGCATTGATTATGGATCCAAGAAAATGAAACCCTTGACAACTGTATTCCTTTTCTCTGTTTCCCATGGTTGCTTATTGGTCCAATTATGAGAGTTTTTGTTTTCTTCATGCTGAGGTGTAATCCTTACTGAAGGTTTTAGTATTTGATCTTTATCAGTAAGTGCTTCAAGTCTTCTTCACTTTCAGTAAGCAAAGTTGTGGCATCTGCATATTGCACATTGTTTACAAATATTCCTCCAATCCTGATGCCACATTCTTCTTCATATAATCCAACTTCTTTGATTATTTGCTCAGCATACAAATTGAAGAAATATGGTGAAAGAACACCATTGAGTTGGAAAAAAAAAAAAAACATTTTTGAAAACAGAAATATACAAAGGTATCTCTGGAGTTGGTTTGCACACCCTTTGGGAACTCCAAAGCATTATCTGTTCTATTAATGCACATTACTCCATCTTAATAGGGCAGTGCATAAGAATTGGAAAGACTGAGAATATTTAAGGAAATATTTTTCTCTCAGCCATTCATTTATCCATTCATCTAAATACTTATTTGGCAGTAATTATAGGACAAGATGTGTGCCAAGTTTCAAGCACTAATATAATTTCTTCCTTTTCACCTTCTATTAAAGTTGTAACATCTTTGATTCTGAAATGCTATTATCCATCTGCAAATATGGGTTTGGGGATAGAAGTGATGCCAGAGATCTCCTGTTAGAATTTTGTAAGACAAAAAACTTATTCATTGCAAATGCCTTTTTCAACAACCTAAATGGAGAATGTACACATGTACCTTGCATATGGAATACACAGGAATCAAATTGACTACATCTGTGAAAAGAGACAATGGAGAAGTTCAATATCATCAGTCAGAACAAGACCAGGAGCTAACTGTGGAACAGACTATCAAATTCTCATATGCAAGTTAAAGTTGAAGGTGAAGACAATTAAAACAAGTCCATGAGACAAAAATATGACTTTGAGTATATACCACCTAAATCTAGAAACCATCTGAAGAATAGATTTGATACATTGAACACCAGTGACTGAAGACCAGATGAGTTGTGGGATGACCTCAACAACATTATACATGAGTAAAGCAAAAGGTTATTTAAAAGACAGGAAAGAAAGAAAAGACCAAAATGGATGTCAGAAGAGACTCCAAAACTTACTGTTGAATGGAGAGTAGCAAAAATGAATGGAAGAAATGATGACATGAAAGTTGAACATCAGATTTCAAAAGATGGCTTGAGAAGACAAAGTAAAGTATTACAGGTTACTAGGGGTGAGAGGGGTGGGGAGGGAACACTGCAAAAAAAAAAAATTGACCAATGTCATTTTAGTTTTGTGTATTTCACTGTACATAAATTATATTTTATAATTTTTTTTAAATTGGAAAAAAAAATAAAGTATGATGAAATGTGCAAAGACCTAGAGTCACAAAATCAAAGGGAAGAACATGCTTAGTATTTCTCAAGCTGAAAGACTTGAAAAAAATCAAGCCTTGAGTTGCGATATTGAAGGATTTTATGGGCAGAATATTGAATGATGAAAGAAACATCAAAAGATAATGAAAGCTACTGTATGGAAAGTAAATTTGCTCTGTAAACTTTTACCCACACCACACACACAAAAAAAAGACAATGGAAGGAATACACAGAGTCACTGTACAAAAGAGAACTGGTTGATGTTCAGCCACTTCAGGAGGTACCAGATGATCAAGAACTGATGGTATTGAAGGAAGAAGTCAAAACTGCACTAAAAGAACTAGCAAAATAAATAAATAAATAAGGTTCCAGGAATTGTCACAATATCCATTGAGATGTTTCAACAAATGGATGCAATGCTGGAGATGATTTCTTGTTTATGCCAAGAAATGTGGAAAAAGCTACCAATGGACTGGAAGAGATCCGTATTTGTGGCCATTTCAAAGAAAAGCGACCCAACAGAATGCAGATATTATCAAACAATGTTATTAATATCACATGCAAGTAAAATTTTGCTTAAGATAATTTAAAAAATGGTTGCAGCAGTGTATTGACAGGGAACTTCCAGAAATTCAAACCAGATTCAGAAGAAGGTATGATATGAGGTATATCATTGCTAATGTCAGATGGACCTTGGCTGAAAGCAAAGA